CCACGCCAGGAGCAGGAACGGGCGACAAACGCCAATATTTCAGCGTCAGGAGCTGACAGTTGATGATGCCGCAGTGGAAAAGCGCTGGGCCTGCCAAGGGGCACCCTTTGGGGGGCCGGGGGGGGGCTGGAGGTTACCCACGGCGCCTCAGCAAGGCTGTCCAGCAACACAAAGCTCCTATACTTCTCCGTGTCCAAAATGCCTGACAACCCCCCCCCTTAAGGTTTTTTTCTTTTCATTTGATACGCAAAGAGAAACGTTTCTCCAGATCCCTGTTTTGCCCCGTACCTCTCAGCAGGAGCCTCCGAGGAGCAGAGCCGTCCCTGCCTCACGAAGCGTCGCAGGGCGAAGCCATCAGGTGCTCCCACTCTACCACCACGGCCGAGTTTTGGCACCTGCTGAGGCTCTGGGCTGATGAGATGCACCTGAAAAACACAACCACCCCCTCCCCAAAGGTCACCCCTGGCGAAGGACTTGAGTCAACGCCTCCTCCCCAAGGCAGGCGGCTCGCGCTCCAGCGAGCTGCTGATTTACAGAGCAGAAATCTCGTTATGTACATGTTTTAAATTAAAAGCAATACATCCACAGTCATGTACAGAGGGTCAGGCGTTTGGCTCCCTAGGAGGAGCATGAGTTTAAGGTGAAGATCCTCCTAAAACGCCAACACTTAAATTGTCTCATGGTAGGGCACAACAGGGACCTCGGACTAAAGGGACTGGAGCAGGGCAGTGGGATTCACTTTCAGCCGCAGAGGGGTAAATGGAGTTCAGCTGTGTCCTAAAGCACCAAAACTATCGGCTAAACTGCAGCTGTGGGATGGGGGGGGGGGGAGAGGGAGGGAGAGAGAGAGAGAATAAATCATCATGGCAGGCACTCATGGAACTGTCACTTGGACCAGCTTGATAGGGAAAGGAAAAGGCAAATGAGAAATGAGTTTTATCTCATTTCAAGTCACTCCTCTGACCACAGCCATTCCGCCATCGAGTCCTCCAGACCCTCTCAGCAACAAGAAAACACAAACTCGTTCCCCTCGGAGGTCCGGACGCGTTCCCCTGTTCTCACGCCGACAGCGCTGGCTCCTACTACGCCACTTGCTTTTATTGTTTACGTTTTTAAGTCAATTTATCATGGCCCATCAAGCGGGTAATGGCTGCCCTGCACACACAAGCCCCTTTCACATCCCCCTCCGACAGCTCCACAAAGGCAACATTCATCCAAGAGCAGACCATGAATAACCCCTCGCTGAAAGGAGCCGCTCGCTAAACAAGCCAAGGAACGAGACAACGAGCCCTTTCAGAGCAACCGCGGCCGAGGTGGGCACGAAGGAAACGCCAGTTAGACACATTTACAGCGTAGTATAACCCCCCCTTCTCCCTCTCCCCAAACAATAATTCAAAATTAATTCGAATATTAGGGTTGAGGCAGTCCCAGCGCAGGGCTCCACCTGGAGATCTGCTCTTTGTGCCTCTGACACAACACAATCGCTCAACGCGCGCGGTAGCCTGGAAGGCTGGGCGGGAGGCCGAGGCTACGGAAAAGCATAATCGCGTAGCGTTGGATCGCGTTACGCTCCACGACACCTCAGGTTCAACAACCGCACTTTCAACCGGCGACAAGCGCCCTTCCACACCTCCTGCGGGATGTACGTCGTTACGCGGAGCCCCTAATGCTTTCCTGGCTCCAGGACGTGAGCTACTGCATTTTACCAACTTAAGATTAAGGCTGAGCCTATTACAACCGGATTATTTTTATTTTGAGGAAGCCTTCCCTCTCACCAGCAGTAACCCCTACAGCTCAGCACCCTTCTCCCAGAGGATGCTGAAAGTTAAAGGAGTCGTCATCAGTCAGACCGAAAGGCGATCCACACCTCAGGATTCATCCACGTACGTGA